GAGAGAGAGAGAGAGAGAGAGAGAGAGAGAGAGAGAGAGAGAGAGAGAGAGAGAGAGAGAGAGAGAGAGAGAGAGAGGAAGAGTTTGTTTCGCAATGAACACACAACCCTTGTTTGGACCAATTACCTCTCTCTGCTGGAAGATCGGGTTGAGGATGTTCAGTTGCTCAAGCAGGTCAGCAAGGAAATGGAGATAAAACCAGAAGCGGTAACTCCTCACAATCGCCAACAACTTGGCGTTGCCCATCTCTGTCACCATGACAACAATAGCCGGAAGAACAACAAGTAGCCTCAAGACATCCTCACCACAGGAGAGCCACCTAATGCCGTGTATCCCTTGTAGCTCCAGGTTCATTGAGGAAAACTCATCTTGCAGGTTCATGAAGCGCTGGTGCCCGGGACCAGACCGGCCAAGAAACTCCGCGATGCCCTTGATGGAGTCATCCACCATGCCGAAGGCAGGGTTAGACTGTGCCGCTGCCTTAGCTGCTAAGGCCTCCCTTCGTGTGTCCACAAAACAGTGTCAGCAAGTAAAGAAACGGTGTAATCTGGGGTCAGAGTGTCATGCGCTAGTCACTTACCTGTGAGCGATGCAGTGACAGGAGACAATGTATGGTATGCGCACCCTCAGTCGAGCGACAAGCCCTCCTCAAGATCCGAGCATGACAGTAGCCCCGTCAGTGCTAATGCCGGCAATCTTCCGCAGGTCTACTCCAATAGCCTGGAGGTGGGACAAGAGTAAAGCGACAAGCGATGCAGCGTCAGCTCGCTCGACAATCAGATGGGCGAGAAGCTCAGTAACCTGTCGCTTCTCGCGAATGAACGTGACAAACACGATCATGTGTTTGCCATGCCGGCGGTCAGTGCTCTCATCGAGGCTGATCCTGATGAAAGGGCTCGCTAGAAGAACCATCTGGGTTGTTTGCAGCCAGGTAGCCAGCGCTTGTGAGCACTGCCCGAACCCATACCTGCAACCACACTAGTAACGAAACGTGTTAGCAACCAGATCCAGTATAGAACGGTACACAGAAACCAATGAAAAGAAAGGCTTACGAGTTGTAGTAAGTGCCGTATCCCTGCTCAGGGAAACCCTTGAACTTGCGTTCCGACAAATAGCGAACGAGTCAGATCCAAGTCTCCATTGGCTCATTGCACCAGCTGCTGAAGTAGAGCACGTCGAGCAGCGAAGTGACATGGAGCCTCTCGAGGTCTTGGGCGACTGGATGCTGGTCAATCTGTGGCTGGGTGGTCGCATCTTGCAGCAGGTCGAGTTGCTTGCTCTACGCAAGCTGATGCCTGTCGTACCAGCGTGCTTCTTGAAGGCCTGGACCTGGACGTCAGTCGCTCCAGCGCCCTTCCTGCCAGTCTTTCCCTTCAACCCTGCGTGTTCAGTACAGACAGAGCACTTAAACGCGGGCAACCCGCAATCAGTTTTCGTCAGCAAAAGCCATGGATACGTCATGGACCACCGTCGTTGAAACTTGTCAACAGCGTCAGCGTACAACTCTTCAGGGTTGAGACGCCTCGTCCCTGACTGCAGCTCGTTGGAGTCATCTGGTGCGTCATCGTCTGAATCTGAGTCCGATGCCTCGGGGTCCGGTTCCTTCGGGGGAGGGGCAAGCGATAGTCGAATCTGCCGGTAGCGGTTGCACGACTTTGCAGGAACGACTGAAGGGCGAACGGGTGGGGGCGCCGAGTCGAGAACAGAAGCCAGGTGCACAGGAGACGAGGATGCGACGGCAAGATGCGTACACTAGACAACCGGGGGAGGCGTGGTTGCTGGAGCATGCCTACTCGACGATGGTTCCGCTGGTCCGGCAGGGACTCGAGGTGGGACGGGGATACTCGCCAACGACGGCAACAACGTATCTAGGCAGGTGCGAGGTTCTTTAGGCAAGTCGTCATCGTCGCCTACTCCCTTGTCGGCACTGCCAGACTCAGCCATGGTGGCAAGGGGAAAAACGCGTGGAAAAAGCTGCAGAAACAGCCGATGAGGACCTAACTAAGCCGGGAGGAGAAAGAACGAGGCATCGGCCTGGAAGCAGCACAATGCCTCTTGTGGAAGAAAGGGTTGGAGCAGCGCGTACATTCTTGAAGGGCATGCCCATGAAGAACGCGATGCACCAACCCTGCCAACAATGCATGGCAAGGGGAAGGGGGGGGTGTACTCCATCCATCATATGTCGAGGCGCTCCAGCTGAGCAGCATCTCCAGTGCGCTGCATGTACGAGATTGGGTGTGGCATGCTCATTTTGGTCAAGTACCAATCACACTACGCCGTTCACGGTGTGTTGGCGACAACAAGGGAATATGCGAGTTTGCTGCCGGGCCGCCGAGCCAGCACATCCCAAAACAAGCGTGATTGACGGAGGAAATGCAATCAAACATCGGGATTTTGGGGGGCCCTAGAATCACGTTGCATGTGGTTTCAGACTGACCCAGAAAACGCACGCTGATGTTACAGAGTGAGCCATACTCAAAACACTGAAATTACAGATATTGGCTTAAAGAAAAGATGATTTTTCAGCACTGACCAACAAAAAAAGCCCAGCCAAAAAGCCTTGCTACCACGGAAATATCAGAATTGAATAATAGTTAGAACAGGAGAGTACAAGGTAATATAAGTTAGGGAGTTGTACCCTCTAAGCCACAAACCTGTATAGTCTACAGTAACATACTAAGATCAGTTTGACACAGCCCCTAGACTATACAGGGGCAGTGCCTAACATGAAAACAAGCAGCTCAGGGAGGAACTACTAGTCCAGCCTCTGAGGCAAGGGTCTAAAGACCAGTCAAAAGGAGTACAGACAAAACAGGAGCAAGACCAAGGCGGCACTACTAGTCCAACCACTAGAAGAGAAGCCACAAGGCCAGTCTGGGTAATACATATATATAAGGTCTGTACACAGTCAAGGTCCTAGCAAGTGCGAGGCAACAGGAACAAGACCAAGCTGTAAGCAGTGCCGCTGATGATCTTTAGGCGCAAGCACCTTCATAAAGATATCAGCTATCTTGGCACCGGAGGCTAAGTGTACTATGCAAGCCTGACGACGCTGCTGCAGCTCACGCAAGAGGAAGTACCGCAGCTGGATGTGCTTCGCTCTGCCCTCAAGTCGAGGCTCCTGACACAAGAGAATCATGGCCCTGTTGTCAGCATACAGGACCAAGGCAGAGCTAGGCCGCTCACCTAAGTCAGTGAGCAAGAAGGTCAGCCAGCGGAGCTCCAGTGCCGCCATGGCACCGGCGTAGATCTCGGCCTCACAGCTGGACTGGGCAACCGACGAAGAGCGAGTAGCTCTCCACGAGACAGCACCTGAACCAAGGCTAAAGTAGTAGCCCTGTGAGGACATAAGGGTCTCGGCGACGTGTGCCCAAGAAGCGTCTGTGTGCCCAGTAAGGACCACTGGCCTGCGTCCTCCCAGCACTAACCCCAAGCCTGATGTGCTCGCGAGATAACGCAAAACCCTTTTAGCTACAGACCAGTGCTGGGGTCTGTGTCTGCCAGTGGCCACAAAGCAAGCCAGAATGCTGAGAGGGTGTGCGAGATCTGGACGAGTGCAAGTCATCAGGTACATAAGGCAACCCACCAGCTCTGCGTAAGGACCACTGGGCTCTGCTGACTCCTCAGGGATTGGAGCAGAGAGCCTGTGATCTACTGGCAGAGGTGTGGGCTGTGCAGAGGAGAACTGAAGACCGAACCTCTGAAGGACCTGGCGCACCAAGTGTGACTGGGTGAGAGTGATGGTGCGTGCTGCTCTGTCTCTGGAGATCTGCAGGCCCAGGTAGTGGCGCAGCTCTCCTAGGTTAGTGCAGGTGTGTCTACTCAGCAGCTCAGCCTTCACAAAGGCCAGCGCGGTGGTGTCTGCAGTGGCAAAGACCAGATCGTCTACGTAAACAAGGATGTAGAACGGAGTCTGGCCAGAACGAACGAAGAGCGAGGGGTCTGCAGAGGACGGAACGAACTGCAGGTCTGCAAGGGTAGCACGCAGCGTGTTGTGCCACTCGCGGGGCGCCTGGCGCAAGCCGTAGACTGGGCGCTACAGGAGCCACTGAGTCTCAGGAGGGAAGGTACCTGTGAAACCCTGAGGCTGGCGCAGGTAGACCTGCTTGTGTAGAGTGCCGTGAAGAAACGCAGTGGAGAAGTCGAGGGAGTGTAACTCGTAGTCACGCTGTGCTGCTACGTGTAGCAGTGCCCAAAGAGTAGTCATCTTCGGGGTCGGGGCGAATGTCTGGAAGAAGTCCACCCCCTCTGTCTGACTACCTTCGTGCCACTCGTCCTCTTGTTCCTCGGGTCCTTGCCTCCCTCGTTACCGACCCGTCTGTTCCGGTCTCGTGTCTTGACGCTCTTGTCGCTGCGGTCGCTGACTTTGCCTCTACCCGCCCCCTTGACTACGCCACCGCTCTGGCCTCTGACCATGCCAGTCCTGCGTCTGTCGGGGGTGCTCCTGTCCTCGGCAGTGACGTCCTGGAGGACCGCCATTACGAGCTTGCTAGGGCCTAGGGCGGAAGCATGAGCAGGGGCGGGACCTACTTACTCATGACACCATGTCATAATTGAATAATAGTTAGAATGGGAGAGTACAAGGTAATGTAAGCTAGGGAGTTGTACCCTCTAAGGCACAAACCTGTATAGTCTACAGTAACATACTAAGATAAGTTTGATAGGAAATCCCTGAAAAAAGGCTGAATCAACGTAAAAAGTCTGATATCTAGGGGCTTGGTACACACATCTATTCCAGGAGCTTTGGTGTGATTAAAAAGATAGGTTGGCTTCAAGCCTCTTCCGAGCCAGCCCTGAGAAATTGCTCGACACCATCCTGATTCTATAATACGGCCAACCGATCAGGCTCACAATGTCGCAAATTTTGTCGCGAAATGTTTCAGTGCGGTTCCGCGAAGTGCGAAGTGAGATTCGGCTTTTCGAGATTCAGGGGCGTGTTCTAAAACCTCTTTTCAGACGAACATATTTTCAGACAAGCGCGAATCTGCACAGTAAAATTTCGAAACCAGCTGTTTTTATGTGGTTGAGAGCGCTGGAAAGCAAATATGACGGAACCCGCTCACTGTCGCGCGTGAGTCTGGGAAGAGGTTGCCTGGGAAGATCCTTGTAGGAACACGCTCTAAGAGGTTCTCTTCCAATTCATCTACAGTAGTGTCAAAAGCAGACTGCCAAAAGACTACTACTGCTCAAGCTTCTCAGGGCAGCCGTGCTTGCATGTGCTGTGTATCATCAGCTACCATGGCGTTACAGCACCAGAATGCATCGAAATGGTGTGATTCGAATAACAAGGGCATTCTCAAAGCATGACGCCCTGCTGACGCGTGCAGTGCATGCCTGTCGAGACAACTTGTCAGATACTGGATCCTCCTCTCCTACTTCCCTCCCTTCTCTACTTCCCTCCCTCCTTCCCTACCCGTGCCTCCACCTCCTCCACACTCACCCCCTCAAACTCCGCAATCACCTCCGGTGCCACATTCCCCTCCGGCTCCCACGTGTTCTCGTCCGAGTCCTGCCACTTAACTAAGTACTCCACCATGCCCTCCCCACCGCCCTGCGCCGCCCCAACCACCCGCTTCTCAAGAATCTTCTCCGCCACGCCATACTCCAGCCCCTCCTCAAAGTCCTTAACTAAGTCCTCGCCGATGTTCTCCGCCGGCTCCCAGCTGTCCTCCGAGTCATCCTGCCACTGAACTAAGTACTCCACAACACCGTCCTCCCCAAGGCGCTTGTCGAGGATCTGGTCCACCTCGGACTCCTCAAACACTGCCTCGTCCAGCATCTTCACCACGTTGTCCAAAGCGAGGCGGCGAGCGAACTGGCAAGGGAAGGAAAATGGGTTGGGTGAGTGGGGAAAGGGAAGGGAAGGGAGGAAAGGGGGTGAGCAAGGGCGTTGATGGCCACCCCGGTGCGCTTGTCGAGGATCTGGTCCACCTCGGACTCCTCAAGCGCCGCCTCGTCCAGCATCTTGACCACGTTGCCAAGAGCAAGGCGGCGGGCGAACTGAGGTGGGGTTGAGGAGAGGTGAAACATGGGGCGAACAGGAGGGGTTGAGAGGGGTTGAGTTGAGAGCGGTTGAGAGGGGATGAAACATGGCGTCGTCCAGCACCTTCACCACGTTGTCCAGAGCCAGATGCCCTGCAAAGTGGGAAGGGAATCGAGAGGGGCTGGTTGGAGGGGCCGGGAGGAAGCGAGGGCTGGAACTTAAGGTGCTGGAGACCACCCCACAGCACTTGTCTTGAATCTGGTCCACCTCCGCCTCCTCAAGCACCGCCTGTCCGGCATCTGCTCCCCGTTGGCCAGAGCAAGACGCCAGGCGAACTGAAACAGGGAGAGGTAGGAGAGGTGAGAAGTGTGCGGAAGGGGAGGGGGAGGGGATAACGGTAATGCGTCCTGCCTTGTGGCGCATCCTTACCACTCCGCAGCACGCAGCAGACCTCCAAGACGCTTCGTGATCTGATGGCTGCAGCAGCACCACGGCACCATGGCACCACAGCATCACAGCATCACAGCATCACAGCATCACAGCATCACAGCATCACAGCATCACAGCATCACAGCATCACAGCATCACAGCACCACAGCACCACAGCACCACAGCACCACAGCATCACAGCATCACAGCATCACAGCATCACAGCATCACAGCATCACAGCATCACAGCATCACAGCATCACAGCATCACAGCATCACAGCATCACAGCATCACAGCATCACAGCATCACAGCATCACAGCATCACAGCATCACAGCATCACAGCATCACAGCATCACAGCATCACAGCATCACAGCATCACAGCATCACAGCATCACAGCATCACAGCATCACAGCATCACAGCATCACAGCATCACAGCATCACAGCATCACAGCATCACAGCATCACAGCATCACAGCATCACAGCATCACAGCATCACAGCATCACAGCATCACAGCATCACAGCATCACAGCATCACAGCATCACAGCATCACAGCATCACAGCATCACAGCATCACAGCATCACAGCATCACAGCATCACAGCATCACAGCATCACAGCATCACAGCACCACAGCATCACAGCATCACAGCATCACAGCACCACAGCACCACAGCACCACAGCACCACAGCACCACAGCATCACAGCATCACAGCATCACAGCATCACAGAATCACAGCATCACAGCATCACAGCATCACAGCATCACAGCATCACAGCATCAGGATTGTTTGCTTGCACTCACAGCGCCGGGGTTACTAGCACTCCCAGCGCCAGGGCTACTAGCAATTACAGCGCCAGGATTAATACACTCACAACGCCAGGGTTACTAGCAATTACAGCGCCAGGGTTATTACACTCACAGCGGCAGGGTTATTAGGGGGATTAGCCTTGAGCAGCTGCTGCGCCAGGATGAGGGGCGACCTCTGCTGCTTGTCCTCCTGCTCTGGGTCCGCCCCGTGGTCCAGCAGAGCGCGCACTATGGTGGAATGCACGTAGCTGGTGATGGGGCAACACGAGAGGCGGATACGACGGGGAAGAGAAGAGTGAGAGGCGCCCACAGCGCGTGCTGCTTGCCCTCCTGCTCTGGGTCCGCCCCGTGATCCAGCAGAGCACGCACTGTGGTGGAATGCACATAGCTGGTGAGGGGGAAACAAAGGGTGATGCGGCAAGTAAGGAGAGTGTTGGATGCGCACACCACACCACAGCACACCACAGCACGTGCTGCTTGCCCTCCTGCTCTGGGTCCGCCCCGTGATCCAGCAGCGCGCGCACTATGGTGGGGCGCACGGAGATGTAAGGGAGGGGGCATTAGATGGGATATGGGGTTGATTGAGTGAGGGCGCTCAAGGAGGGAGGGATTAGAGGCGCCCACGGCCACAGCACCTGCTGCATGTCCTCCAGCTAGGGGTCCGCCCTGTGGTCCAGGAGGGCGCGCGCGATGGTGGGACGCATGTATCTGAAGAAGGGAGGGGCTTGTCTGACCGCAGTTTGCTAGTGTCGGCAGCAATCCTAGTCGCACAGCTGGTGTGAGAGCTGGCGCCACAAACGGCCCCCTTGCATTGCGAGACTGTTGGCTTTCCTTGCTCTTCCTCAAGGTGCAAAGAAACGGTTTCCGTATTAAACGGTCCGTTTTTTACAGTCGTTTTATACGGCAGATTTATGCAAATTCTACCGTTTTTTGTTAGAGTTTTTTTTCCCCGGTTTTTTTTGTTTTCTTCCCCGGTTTTTTTTTTTTTTTTTTTTTTTTTACCCTAAACTAAAAAAAAATCGCTTCGAAACAGAGGGCCTGGTGGCGGCGACAGCCGACGTGCATCTAAAACACCATCCTCGTCCTCCTAGACCTCCTTTCATTGTCCTTCTCGCCCTTCCTTCACCCTCCTCCTAGTCCTCCTACTCTACTCCGGCTCTGCTCCTCCTCCTAATTGTCCTCCTCCTCCTCACCCTAGTCCTCCCCTTCCTCCCTCTAGTCGCCCTCCTCCTCACCCTAGTCCTCCTCATCCTCCTCACCCTCCTCACCCTCCTCACCCTCCTCGATATAAAGCGAATTTCCGTTTTTTACGGCAGTATAAAAAAAACGACCGTATAAAACGGCCGTTTTTTTGCACCAGTCAGAAAACACCATTTTTGACCGTTTTAATCGTATTAAGCGGCCGTTTTATACGGTTCCGTTTTATACGGTAAAAAAACTTAAAAACGCCGTTTCTTTTCACCTCGCTCTTCCTCGCTCTTCCTCGCTCTTCCTCGCTCTTCCTCGCTCTTCCTCGCTCTTCCTCGCTCTTCCTCGCTCTTCCTCGCTCTTCCTCGCTCTTCCTCGCTCTTCCTCGCTCTTCCTCGCTCTTCCTCGCTCTTCCTCGCTCTTCCTCGCTCTTCCTCGCTCTTCCTCGCTCTTCCTCGCTCTTCCTCGCTCTTCCTCGCTCTTCCCCCCCCCCCCCCCCCCCCCCCCCCCCCCCCCCCCCCCCCCCCCCCCCCCCCTCGCTCCCCCTCCCTCGCTCTTCCTCGCTCTTCCTCGCTCTTCCTCGCTCTTCCTCGCTCTTCCTCGCTCTTCCTCGCTCTTCCTCGCTCTTCCTCGCTCTTCCTCGCTCTTCCTCGCTCTTCCTCGCTCTTCCTCGCTCTTCCTCGCTCTTCCTCGCTCTTCCTCGCTCTTCCTCGCTCTCCTCGCTCTTCCTCGCTCTTCCTCGCTCTTCCTCGCTCTTCCTCGCTCTTCCTCGCTCTTCCTCGCTCTTCCTCGCTCTTCCTCGCTCTTCCTCGCTCTTCCTCGCTCTTCCTCGCTCTTCCTCGCTCTTCCTCGCTCTTCCTCGCTCTTCCTCGCTCTTCCTCGCTCTTCCTCGCTCTTCCTCGCTCTTCCTCGCTCTTCCTCGCTCTTCCTCGCTCTTCCTCGCTCTTCCTCGCTCTTCCTCGCTCTTCCTCGCTCTTCCTCGCTCTTCCTCGCTCTTCCTCGCTCTTCCTCGCTCTTCCTCGCTCTTCCTCGCTCTTCCTCGCTCTTCCTCGCTCTTCCTCGCTCTTCCTCGCTCTTCCTCGCTCTTCCTCGCTCTTCCTCGCTCTTCCTCGCTCTTCCTCGCTCTTCCTCGCTCTTCCTCGCTCTTCCTCGCTCTTCCTCGCTCTTCCTCGCCCCTCGCTCTTCCTCGCTCTTCCTCGCTCTTCCTCGCTCTTCCTCGCTCTTCCTCGCTCTTCCTCGCTCTTCCTCGCTCTTCCTCGCTCTTCCTCGCTCTTCCCTCGCTCTTCCTCGCTCTTCCCTCGCTCTTCCTCGCTCTTCCTCGCTCTTCCTCGCTCTTCCTCGCTCTTCCTCGCTCTTCCTCGCTCTTCCTCGCTCTTCCCTCGCTCTTCCTCGCTCTTCCTCGCTCTTCCTCGCTCTTCCTCGCTCTTCCTCGCTCTTCCTCGCTCTTCCTCGCTCTTCCCTCCGCTCTTCCTCGCTCTTCCTCGCTCTTCCTCGCTCTTCCTCGCTCTTCCTCGCTCTTCCTCGCTCTTCCTCGCTCTTCCTCGCTCTTCCTCGCTCTTCCTCGCTCTTCCTCGCTCTTCCTCGCTCTTCCTCGCTCTTCCTCGCTCTTCCTCGCTCTTTCCCTCGCTCTTCCTCGCTCTTCCTCGCTCTTCCTCGCTCTTCCTCGCTCTTCCTCGCTCTTCCTCGCTCTTCCTCGCTCTTCCTCGCTCTTCCTCGCTCTTCCTCGCTCTTCCTCGCTCTTCCTCGCTCTTCCTCGCTCTTCCTCGCTCTTCCTCGCTCTTCCTCGCTCTTCCTCGCTCTTCCTCGCTCTTCCTCGCTCTTCCTCGCTCTTCCTCGCCCTCGCTCTTCCTCGCTCTTCCTCGCTCTTCCTCGCTCTTCCTCGCTCTTCCTCGCTCTTCCTCGCTCTTCCTCGCTCTTCCTCGCTCTTCCTCGCTCTTCCTCGCTCTTCCTCGCTCTTCCTCGCTCTTCCTCGCTCTTCCTCGCTCTTCCTCGCTCTTCCTCGCTCTTCCTCGCTCTTCCTCGCTCTTCCTCGCTCTTCCTCGCTCTTCCTCGCTCTTCCTCGCTCTTCCTCGCTCTTCCTCGCTCTTCCTCGCTCTTCCTCGCTCTCCTCCCTCCCGCTCTTCCTCGCTCTTCCTCGCTCTTCCTCGCTCTTCCTCGCTCTTCCTCGCTCTTCCTCGCTCTTCCTCGCTCTTCCTCGCTCTTCCTCGCTCTTCCTCGCTCTTCCTCGCTCTTCCTCGCTCTTCCTCGCTCTTCCTCGCTCTTCCTCGCTCTTCCTCGCTCTTCCTCGCTCTTCCTCGCTCTTCCTCGCTCTTCCTCGCTCTTCCTCGCTCTTCCTCGCTCTTCCTCGCCCCTCGCTCTTCCTCGCTCTTCCTCGCTCTTCCTCGCTCTTCCTCGCTCTTCCTCGCTCTTCCTCGCTCTTCCTCGCTCTTCCTCGCTCTTCCTCGCTCTTCCTCGCTCTTCCTCGCTCTTCCTCGCTCTTCCTCGCTCTTCCTCGCTCTTCCTCGCTCTTCCTCGCTCTTCCTCGCTCTTCCTCGCTCTTCCTCGCTCTTCCTCGCTCTTCCTCGCTCTTCCTCGCTCTTCCTCGCTCTTCCTCGCTCTTCCTCGCTCTTCCTCGCTCTTCCTCGCTCTTCCTCGCTCCCCCCCCCCCCCCGCTCTTCCTCGCTCTTCCTCGCTCTTCCTCGCTCTTCCTCGCTCTTCCTCGCTCTTCCTCGCTCTTCCTCGCTCTTCCTCGCTCTTCCTCTTCCTCGCTCTTCCTCGCTCTTCCTCGCTCTTCCTCGCTCTTCCTCGCTCTTCCTCGCTCTTCCTCGCTCTTCCTCGCTCTTCCTCGCTCTTCCTCGCTCTTCCTCGCTCTTCCTCGCTCTTCCTCGCTCTTCCTCGCTCTTCCTCGCTCTTCCTCGCTCTTCCTCGCTCTTCCTCGCTCTTCCTCGCTCTTCCTCGCTCTTCCTCGCTCTTCCTCGCTCTTCCTCGCTCTTCCTCGCTCTTCCTCGCTCTTCCTCGCTCTTCCTCGCTCTTCCTCGCTCTTCCTCGCTCTTCCTCGCTCCCTCGCTCTTCCTCGCTCTTCCTCGCTCTTCCTCGCTCTTCCTCGCTCTTCCTCGCTCTTCCTCGCTCTTCCTCGCTCTTCCTCGCTCTTCCTCGCTCTTCCTCGCTCTTCCTCGCTCTTCCTCGCTCTTCCTCGCTCTTCCTCGCTCTTCCTCGCTCTTCCTCGCTCTTCCTCGCTCTTCCTCGCTCTTCCTCGCTCTTCCTCGCTCTTCCTCGCTCTTCCTCGCTCTTCCTCGCTCTTCCTCGCTCTTCCTCGCTCTTCCTCGCTCTTCCTCGCTCTTCCTCGCTCTTCCTCGCTCTTCCTCGCTCTTCCTCGCTCTTCCTCGCTCTTCCTCGCTCTTCCTCGCTCTTCCTCGCTCTTCCTCGCTCTTCCTCGCTCTTCCTCGCTCTTCCTCGCTCTTCCTCGCTCTTCCTCGCTCTTCCTCGCTCTTCCTCGCTCTTCCTCGCTCTTCCTCGCTCTTCCTCGCTCTTCCTCGCTCTTCCTCGCTCTTCCTCGCTCTTCCTCGCTCTTCCTCGCTCTTCCTCGCTCTTCCTCGCTCTTCCTCGCTCTTCCCTCGCTCTTCCTCGCTCTTCCTCGCTCTTCCTCGCTCTTCCTCGCTCTTCCTCGCTCTTCCTCGCTCTTCCTCGCTCTTCCTCGCTCTTCCTCGCTCTTCCTCGCTCTTCCTCGCTCTTCCTCGCTCTTCCTCGCTCTTCCTCGCTCTTCCTCGCTCTTCCTCGCTCTTCCTCGCTCTTCCTCGCTCTTCCTCGCTCTTCCTCGCTCTTCCTCGCTCTTCCTCGCTCTTCCTCGCTCTTCCTCGCTCTTCCTCTTCCTCGCTCTTCCTCGCTCTTCCTCGCTCTTCCTCGCTCTTCCTCGCTCTTCCTCGCTCTTCCTCGCTCTTCCTCGCTCTTCCTTGCTCTTCCTTTTTCTTCCTCAGCCAACCAATTCTCTTGGGGCCAAAGGACGCGGCACTGGGTGCAAGCCGGCGCTGGGCTAGGTGAATGTCATGCTACAGGCGGGCGCTCATCCGCTGCTTACGCCCATCTTACATCTTAGCTTTTAAGCTCGTTTCCCGCCACTCACCCCGCGGCGATGTGTCGTGCAGCGCACTGTAGCCGTCCTCGTCCTGCCACGCCCGCGTGCTGCGGCCTCGCCAATCATGCATCGATCGGATCACACAGCCACTCCTCGCTTCTCTCCGCTTCCTCGTGCGCGCAACCTTTGTCTGGTCCCATCCCATCAAACCGTTCAGCCAAGTGGACTCACCCCGCAGCGATGTGCAGCGCGCTGTAGCCCTCCTTGTCCTGCCACGCAACGTCCGCGCCCTCCGCTAGCAGCGCGCGCACCATCTGTTGCGGGGCGAGCGAGGGCCAAGGTGGGTGGGGGAGGGGGGAGAGGGGGGGGGACAGGGAGGGGAGGGGGGGAAGTGGGTGTGGGGTGGGGGGTTGGGTCACTGGCGTGCCAGCCCACGCCAAGTCCGCGCCCTACGCCAGAAGCGCGCTTACCATCTGTTGCGCGCCAAGCCAGGGGCCGGGAGGGCATGGCACGAGGGGAGTAACGTGAGAGGAAGACCGAAGACGTTTGGCCGTTTGGACAACGAACTCCTCAGCCTGCTGCACGCTTCTATGCATGGCCCAGCCGTATGCTTCTGTTTGGTGTCTATGCTTCCATGTTCAGCTGCGCTTGGCCAAGCCTTTTAGCGACAAAAGATGAACTCGCGAAGGTCGCTCTCAGGGCTGGCGGGTTCTGCGCTTCTGTGCTTTTCTCGCCTGTAATCCATCTGCTGAGATGTATCGGCGGAATATCCGCTCCAGCAAGTAAGAAAAATGCCAAATTCAACAGAATGAAGGTCTTTGAGAATTCTCAAAAGCCTCTCCCACGGACAGAAAAGCGCCATCCCTGACGGCGTCCCGGAGACTTCTTCGCGCTTCATGCCGCTACTCGCCATTGTCGGCCCCGTTGCGACCAACGTTACGAAGGAGGACGGCACCAACCCACTGCAGAGTACGCAGCTCCCCTCCCACTTCCTAGACTCCCGACGACCCTTCTTTGCAGCACCCCCCCTGACACCATTCCACAGCAGAGCAGTGCGAGCAGGAAAGAAGGAAGCGCGACTCACCTTTTCGTTTCCAAGGCCCGCCGCGAACAGCAGCGCGGACCGCCCGTTCCCGTCGACGGCGTTCACGTCTCTGCCCTCCCCCAGCAGCTCCTGCACCTTCGCCTCGTCGCCGCGCCGCACCGCAGTCCACCACGGCTCCTCGAACGCCGCCACCAGGTCCGCTGCGACGTTTTCGCGCGGCTCCCAGCTGTCGGGGTGGTCGTCCTTCCACTCGATCAGGTACTGCGTCACCCCGCCCTCCGCCACGCGGCTTCCGAGAATCTTCTCCACCTCTCCCACGTCTTCCTCGTCGGCGGCTGATTCCTCTGCGGGGAGGTCGGCCGGCACGTCCTCGAACGCGGGCTTCTTGGCGGCGGATGTCGTGGATTCTTGTTGTTGCTGGTCGGCTGCTGACGTGGATGTCGAGCCGGATGACGTGGCGGTGACCGTGAATCGTCGCTCGCGGGAGATGGCGGGTCTATGGACGGCGGAGAGAGAGGCGATGCCGCCGGATCTTCTGAATCCGCAGCAATTCGCCTTGGCCTGCTTCTCTGGTTGAATCGCATTTCTCCGAAGCGACACGTGGCACGGGCCTGCCGCTCCTGCGGCTTGCAACATTCTGACGGCGACGGCCTCCATGATTCACGGGACCAATCAGCAGACAGCGACTGGTGTCTGAAAATCTGGAAAAGAAAATCAGAGTAAAACGGCTGCTCTGCTCACAAGAAGCTGCTGGAATGAGGAGCGTAGACCGTCCGTCGCAGAAACAGAGGCAGTCACATCACAATGCACGGAATTTGACAGGCCTCGGCAAGCAGAGGAAAATCGAGCGCACGCCAGAACGAACCGAGGTGAACGGGAAACTGGAACTGGTGCCCTCCTGCGAAGGGGATTGCCAGCGTGGAGGCGAGGCGGATTCGGGCACTCAGTGAGCACAAAGCAGAATCTTTGAGCCAATCGTGAGGAGCCAAATGGCGAGAAGCAATTCCTTCTCAACACCCCAGATTGCAGTGCCACTCGTGCTGCGGACACAAGTGTTCCCAAGGAGATAGCCCGCTTCTGGAAACGATGTCAGATAGTGTAAGGAATTACGATTCCTTACTGCAGCTTGCTTCAGCGAGTACACGAGAACAGCTCGCGGCCGCAGGCTCGGCCCTCGGTTCTCGCACCAAACAAGCCCCCGCTGACCTATTCGGCCCCAGCCTGATCCCGAATCGCCCCGAACCCATTTCGCCCCCTTCACCCTCGGGACTCTCGAGCCCTTGACTGGTCCAACCCTCGACATTCAAACATGGTCAATCGTCCTACATATTCCCTAGGCCCTCATTTGTACCGACATTCTGTAGTCACTTCCCCTGATTGAATACTGTGCTACACTCTGAGTTATAATCCATAACAGATAACGAGAATGCGTTACTTCCAAGTTCGTTATTTTATCCATAGCTACAACAAATAGGCAAAGGCATGCTCGCTTAAGAGTAAAAAAAAGCTGAGTGTGGTGTGGAATGCGTAGTTCATGGTTAGCTATCTAGTACTAGGCATCGATTACCCTAAAGTGACATGGTTGCCTATGCCTGCACAACGTACCCGTACCGAGCTGCTTTCCAAATGTGCGGAGAGAGCAGGCAAAACCAGCTTCTTTTAGCAATGAAAGTGATGAAGCCACGCCGCCACCGACACAGAGCCTAACAGATGGTGAAGATCATTCCCTCCCTTCCCCTCACCAGCCGCGAAATCACGGCGAGACTGCGCGTTGAAAGTCAGCCTGCGTCAGCGGATCTGCAGTGCCACGTCGTCCATACCTTGCCATTTCCCCTTCCTCATCCCCTCCCCCTCCTCCCCCCCCCACAGTAGACCGCAATGCTCAGCAGCAGGTATTCACAATGCACCATCTGGCAGTCCTGCCTCGCACGGCGTCCCCCTTTCATGATTGCAGCCACACTCCATCCCGGAGCCTCTGCAGACCTGCGCCATAAAACTCGCCCACTTGGCTGCCCTCGCGGAAGAAGCGGAAGAACCCTAAACTAGACGGCAATCACAGTACCCCCTCTGGCAGTCCTGGGTCACGAACGCCCCTCTCTCACGACTGCAGCCACACTCTGTCTCTGAGCCTCTGCGGGCCAGCGCCGTAGAACTCGTCGACCTTGCTGCCCTCGCGGAAGAAGCGGAAGGTGGGCGTGTAGCGCACGTCCTCCGCCATCTGCGAGCACTTGTCCACGTCAGCGTACACAAAGATGGGCCGCGAGTACTCGTTGCTCAGGTTGAAAAAGGTGGGCAGCATCTTGCTGCACGCGTGGCACCTGAACAAGGGCGGGGGGAAATGGAGTTACAGAAGGGCGGGGAGGCGGAGGGAGCGGAGAGAAGGGGAACCAATGCGGTGGAAAAGGCAAAATCTCCTGGTCCAGCCTATTAATCGTTGAGCATGACACACGTACATCACTAGTGCAGAGAATGACCTTGACGCATATAGCAACAATAGCAGACAAACAATTCACCTAACAGTGAACCATGCTGTGATAAAGAAGGAATGGCGGGAGACGCGGACGCACTCACCAGCTGGCGCCATACGTCACGACGACCTGTGCCAACAACAAGCAAGGCGGACAGGGCAGTAAAACGGGAAGCAATGTGGTCAAGGAAGCGACACAGAAAGAGGAGGGTCAACACGCTGAAAGCTGGGACAGAACTGCTTGGAACAAACTCTACAAAATTGCCGACCATGCCGAACAGTGTTGCAATTTCAGGAAGGTCATCACATGAAACAGAAAAGGCCCATGCCACGTCTCGGTAGATACGCTTACTCTGCGACATATTAAAGTGTATACTTTAGTAAACCGACGACAGTGTCCGCTGATAATAATCGAACATAATACTGTGTCCCGGACTCAAATAGGATTGAAAGGAGGAAAAGCGCGTGTAGTGCACAAAAGGACCGTGAAGCATCAAACCTAGTCCGTATCTCCCCTTGTCAACGACTACTCACTGGCCGCTTCAACGACTACTCACTGGCCGTTTCAACGACTACTCACTGGCCGCTTCAACGACTACTCACTGGCCGCTTCAACGACGACTCACTGGCCGCTTCAACGACTACTCACTGGCAGCTTCAACGACTACTCACTGGCCGCTTCAACGACTACTCACTGGCCGCTTCAACGACTACTCACTGGCCGCTTCAACGACTACTCACTGGCCGCTTCAACGACTACTCACTGGCAGCTTCAACGACTACTCACTGGCCGCTTCAACGACTACTCACTGGCCGCTTCAACGACTACTCACTGGCCGCTTCAACGACTACTCACTGGCCGCTTCAACGACTACTCACTGGCCGCTTCAACGACTACTCACTGGCCGCTTCAACGACTACTCACTGGCCGTTTGGTCAACGACTACTCACTGGCCGCTTGGTCAACGACTACTCGCTGGCCGCTTCAACGACTACTCACTGGCCGCTTCAACGACTACTCACTGGCCGCTTCAACGACTACTCACTGGCCGCTTCAACGACTACTCACTGGCCGCTTCAACGACTACTCACTGGCCGCTTGGCCAACGACTACTCACTGGCCGCTTTGTCTTCTTGGCTTCCACTAACACCTGCGACAGCTCCGAGTCCGACTTGGCCTCGAGCAGGTTGTTGTTGCGGTTGAACGGCATGGATCGCGGCCTCGCCGCCGCGCCTGCCGCGTCCTTCCGCACGCTGAACTCCCCCGCCGGACCCTCGGGATCGCCGGTCGACATTGCGCGACGCAGGCAAGCGACCTCAACTTCGGTGTTGACGGGGATTGGTCAAGAGAGGGCAAACTAGAAGGCCGCGCCTCTCGAACCTGGGCTAGCAGCCGTATATGGAGGGTTCTTGAAAGCGGCGGAATAGCGATGTAGCAATCTTCTGAGAAAATCGTCCGTGTTTCGCGGAACTGCAGATGTGTCAAGGCGACCTAGATTGTGTGTCTTCCGAGCAACTTTCTGCGGCTGTCAGGCTAGAAAGTGGTCTGACTGGCTCAGCTGTGACGCTCCTCAAGTCAAGTAGTCTCCCTCCCCAGCTGCTCCTTTCGCACGGCAGATTGAAGTTGTCGCAATGCGATTATGTGAAGCACCTCAAGGGCAGTGGTCCCTCGTGATGGCGTCGCATCCAGACGCCAGAAAATCGCGGACGACTTCGCCCGAAGGATAGGTGGGGAGGGAAGACACTTGAGAGGTCCTTGCTGCGTCTGCTTGCGACAAAAGTCTGACAAGTTTTGCATGATAAAGTATACACTACAAGCCTCATTTTCCTACTGCAACATGTAACTAAATTAGAGGATGCTATCCAATCCGCTCCATAGTGTGGCGTGGCGTGTTCGGCTGTAAGGAAATGGTATTTCCTTATCATAGGTTTTATTAAGAAAGGCATACACTGCTATAACGGGATTTCCGCGCAGCTCTCCCGCGAAATTCAAATCGCGGTCCCAAATCTGGTCTCTTAACTGTTGTGATAATTGAAGTTTTGCATTCCTGCAAGTTCCGTTTTTGGTGTACCTCGAATATCGCGTTACTCAGTAAGGAAACAGGCCCGAGTGCTGATGTCAGCAAAACATCGCGAGTCTCGGGGATGACGTCAGCATACGGCTTCAGTTACGCGATTAGGCGTAACGAGTCGTTTCAGTCAAGCGAACAGTCGCGACCCTATAGAATGACGAATACCTAGGTCGCATAGCGCGCAACTAGCCGAACAGATACTTTCCTTAGAACTATAAATCCTTGTAATGCCTTTCTATTATCAACCTTGACTTTACACAGAATTATGTGCTCAGGTTATTCAACCTTCGACTATCCACAAGTTCATGTGCTCAGGTTCAGTCTTATAAGAATTCCGCTGTCTTTCTAGTCTACTATTCCAGCAAAGATCCTTGGTTAAGTACTTGTGGTTGCAGATTCTATACTTAGTTTCTTGCAACATCTTTTCAAAATATTGCATTAACGAACCGCATAGATTGTTGCCCGCCTTGCTGTTGCATGCATGGATCTGGGCACTCTGCGCCATTTTAAGAACCACACGTCGCAGCCGTGCCGAGCCACGACTGTGTGCTCCTAGGCTAGCTATATCCCTGCTCCTTGCTGTTTGATGCGCTCAGTTGCATTGTTTTCCTCGCCAATCGAACCTTCGACACACGCTCTTTGCGCTTCATTACACCTGGCCATCAGAGCCAACGATCCTCAGCCTTGCGCTCTAGTTTTCCGCTGCAACACCGACACCTAGAGGGGCTGACGCTTTGCGCTTACTGCATATCATATCCGTTGTCCTGGTAATATTAATCGATAATAACCTACAGCCACGACTGCGTTCGCAGTGCCAGAGTGCCGAAAGCCGCCCAAAACTTTCGTGAAATAGTGGATCCGCCGGCGTCTTCCGCCATGATTCATGAAGAAAGGGCGGCAGTACTTGACGAAGTCCGTCTTACGCACTAGTTGTACCAGCAGGATTTGGGCGCATCTGCGAGCTGAAACGACACATGTTGAATCTGAGATATCTGCACTTCGGGGCCGACTGCCTCAGACACGACACGAGACGATCGCACCAACGAGAAATCAAGGACAACGGGAGAAGGTAACACAGCAGCGTTCCGAAATACCTGCTCTTAATAAGCGACTACTATCAGAATTGAATAATAAGTTCAAGGCATGAATACAAGGGTATATGACCTAAGAGTTGTACCCTCTAAGGGACAAACCTATACAGTTTATACAAACATAACAATATATGTTTGACACACCCCCTAGACTGCATAAGTGCAGTTACTGACGTGAACACGAGCAACTCAGGGTGGCACTACTAGTCCAACCTCTGAGGCAAGGGTCTAAAGACTAGTAAAAAAAGTACAGACACAACAAGAACAAGACCAAGGAGGCACTACTAGTCCAGCCACTGCAAAGGGGCCACAAGGCCAGTCAAGAGTAAAATATATATAAAGATCTGTACATAGTCAAGGCCCTAGCAGGTGAGAGGCTACAGGAACGAGACCAAGCTGTACAAAGTGCCGCTGATGATCTTTAGGCGCAAGCGCCTTCGTAAAGATATAAGCTGTATTGGCACCAGAGGCCAAGTGTACTACGCGGGCCTGGCGACGCTGCTGTAGCTCGCGCAGGAGGAAGTATCGCCGCTGGATGTGCTTCGCTCTGCCCTCAAGTCGAGGCTCCTGACACAGGAGGATCATGGCCCTGTTGTCAGCGTATAGGACCGGGGCAGAGATAGGCCGCTCACCTAAGTCAATGAGCAAGAAGGTCAGCCAACGGAGCTTCTGTGCCGCCATGGTACCGGCGTAGATCTTGGCCTCACAGCTAGACTGAGTAACATACGAGGAGCGAGTAGCTCTCCACGAGACAGCACCTGAACCAAGGCTAAAGCAATAGCCCTGCGAGGACCTGAGGGTCTCAGCGTTGTCTACCCAAGAAGCGTCTGTGTGTCCAGTAAGGACCACTGGCCTGCGTCCTCCCAGCACTAACCCCATGCCTGATGTACTCGCGAGATAACGCAAAACCCTCTTAGGTCGGTGTCTGCCTGTGGCCACAACGTGAGCCAGGATGCTGAGAGGGTATGCGAGATCCAGACGAGTGCAAGTCATCAGGTACATGAGGCAACCCACCAGCTCTGCGCAAGGACCACTCGGCTCAGCCGACTCCTCAGGAACTGGAGCAGAGAGCTGTGATCTACTGGAAGAGGTGTTGGCTGTGCAGAGGAGAACTGAAGACCGAACCTTTGAAGGACCTAACGCACCAAGTGTGACTTGGTGAGAGTGATGGGGTGCGCTGCTCTGTCCCTGGAGATCTGAAGGCCCAGGTAGTGGTGCAGCTCTCCTAGGTTAGTGCAGGTGTGTCTCTTCAGCAGTTCAGCCTTCACGAAGGCCAGTGCGACGGTGTGTGCAGTGGGAAAGACCAGATCGTCTACGTAAACAAGGATGTGGAACGGAGTCTGGCCAGAACGAACGAAGAGCGAGGGGTCTGCAGAGGACGGAAAGTACTGCAGGTCTGCAAGGGGAGCATGCACCGTGTCGTGCCACTCGCGGGGCGTCTGATGCAGGCCGTAGACTGGGCACCGCAGGAGCCACAGGGTCCCAGGAGAGAAGGTACCAGTGAAACCCTGAGGGCGGCGCAGGTAAACCTGCTCGTGTAGACTGCCCTGAAGGAAAGCAGTACAGAAGTGGAGGGAGTGGAGCTCGTAGTTACGCTGTGCTGCTACGTGTAGCAGTGCCCGAAGAGTAGTCATCTTCCGGATCGGGGCGAAAGTCTGAAAGAAGTCTACCCCCTCACGCTGACTGAAGCCTCTAGCCACGTAGCGAGCCTTGAACACAGACGGCTCTCCACGAGAGTGCTTCACTTTGAAGAGCCAGCGGCCATCAACTAAGTTCACCCCAGGTGGGGGAACTGCGTCGACGTAGGTGCCGGTGGATCTCCAAGATGCCATCTCCTGCTCCATGGCAGCTATCCACTGAGAGGGCCAAGGTCCCGAGGTCGCCTCAGCGTAAGTGCGAGGGGTCGGGATGTCGAAAGCGTCTTGGTCACCCTCAGGGACTAGCAGCATGGAACAGAGATGAGGAGCAGCCTCAGACAGGAAAGCAAGCTCGTACTGGTGGTCCTCCAGGACGTCACTGCCGAGGGCAAGTGCACCCGCGATAGACGGAGGACAGGCAGGTTTGGAGACCAAAGCGGTGGCGTAGTGAAGACGGCGGGTAGAGGCAAAGTCATCGACCGCAGCGACAAGAGCGTCAAGACATGAGACCGGAACAGACGGGTTGGTAACGAGAGAGGCAAGGACTCGAGGAACAAGAGGACAAGCGGCGCGAAGGTAGTCAGATAGAGGGGGGGGCACAACAACAAGGGAGGATGGAGGAGGTGATGGTAGGGGGGGAGGACGAGACATGTGGGAACAAAGCAACATAGGGTGAGAGCGCTGGACAGGGGAGACGGGAAGAGCACGAGAGGGACGGCGAGACCAGACGTGAGACGGAGGCGTCGGGTCAGGAGACAAGGGACGGGACACAAGGGGGGAACGAGGGGGGAGACGAGCCGGAGTCGAGTCCGGGGGAGGGAACACGGGGCCGTAGACAGGAAGAGGAGGAGACGGTAGGAAAGGCACAGAATCGTGGTTGGGGGAGGGAAGGCCGAGCAGGCGAAGGGATGACAGCGGCGGTGATTGCTGCTGCGGCGGCACGTCACCGACACCGGGACCGCAAGCTGCTCCACGGCTACCTCCGAAACACTCCACTCCAGCACCCCCCGAAGGAACACCCCCAGAGTCTTACACCCCTCGAGCACCGGTACCACCCCCAGGCCCGCCGGGACAAGCCACGACAGGAGCCCCAGGACTAGAACCCACCCCAACGCCAGCACCCCCAGAGGCAACGAACTGCTGCGGCGACGGCTGCAGTGGCGGCGGCTGCAACAACGGCTGCGGCGGTGACGGGGGCTGCGACAGCGGCGGCGACAACGGCTGCGGAGGTGGCGGAAGAGGAGAGACCTGGGGAGGGGCGGGCAGCGAGGACTGTGCCGCAGGACCACCAGAGTTAGCAGACTCCTCGACTGGGCCAACCGAGGGGAGGGGGGTAACGTGAGACACACCAGACGGGGCAGGACGGGGAGGGGGAGGGGCAGGGGCAGGGGCCAGCGGGGAAAGGGGGACCACGAACAGGGGGGGAGTAACCGGGGGACCACGGTGGGGGAAGCGACGGTAGAACGAGACAGACTCGTCAAAGGTGATGTCGTGGGAGTGAAAGAAACGGTGAGACGGCGGGTGGTAGAAGTGCCAGTCAGATGAGTCAACGGGGAAACCAAGGAAGACACAGGGGAGTGTACGGGCAGTGAGCTTGTCCGTGCCAGAGGCACGAACGTGAGCAAGGCAGCCCCAGACATGGAACGCTGACGCGTCACTAGGAGACCCGGACCAATGAAGGGTCGGCGAAACCTGCGGCTGCTGGGGGTGCGGCCATAGGTTAAGCTGATGAGCGGCGTAGCAAACAGCGAACGGCAAAAGAAAATGGGGTGCACCGGCATGGACCATGGAGGTACGAGCCACCTCCATTATCAATCCGATGC